TGTGTGTGTGTGTGTTAATACCGTAAACCCTATAGTTTTCTTAGAATTTATGAGCGTGCGAACCGTGAACGTTTGTACGTGTGTTAAATTGATACCGTAAACCCTATTTATTATAATAGCTTTCTTAGAATGTCTGGGTCGCGCGCGCTCGCGGGCGCGTGTGTTCGTGTGTGTGCGTGTGTGTGTGGGGGGGTGTGGGGGTGTGTGTGTGTGGAGGTGGGGGTGATTAAAGCTTAATTTATTGATATTCTAAATTGCCACACTGGTTGCGCAAACAATTTAATCTGTATCAGCCCCGAAACGGACAACATTATCAGCCCAACCCAGCCCGCCCCCACTTAACTATAACTTCCTGATCACGTGACCTGATACTCCCTGATCATGTGACAAGATACTCTTAACTTCTTGAGCGCCGCAGTGAGTCATGTCTTTTATACCCTTGGGATCTTCAAGAGTCACTTAAGGGGTCTCTCGTTTATGATGGTGCTTGTCTCTCATTCTGTAGGTCCCAGGTTCGAATCCGGACAGCAACGACAGCAAAGGAAACATTTCTTCTCTAAAATTGTCTCCTTTCACCTCCTTTCTTGCTTTCTACTAGCAATGTTCTGTCGTCTGCTTCCGTCTCCACTTTCTGGCCCCACCCCCTAGACCCCTTTGCACCCCCCACCGCCTCCTCTAGGCTCCTGACTCTTTCTGCAGTCTTTCTGCTGCTACTGCTCGGCTCCTTCTTTCTTCTTTCATCCACATCCCTGATCTTATTGTAGATAAGATCTAACACCTAGCCTTCTCGGACAAGAGCGAAAAATCGCGGGGGTCCGTGAGCAAGTTGTGCACGTTAAGGACCAAAAATCCCTAAGAGTAGGCTTCGACCACCATCCGGGTAAAATTCAAAATTTCCTACCAAGTGAAAAGTCGGGTAGCGACAGAATTTTCTTTCTTTAAAATTGTCTCCTTTCACCTCCTTTCCTGCTCTCTAGCAATGTCGTTCTGTCGTCTGCTTTCGTCTCCACTCTCTGTCCCCACCCCCTCACCTCCTTTGCTCCCTCCTTTGAGCTTCTGACTCTTTCTACAGCCTTTCTACTGCTTTTCCTTTGCTCCTATAATTCTTGCTGCTGTCTTTCAGCCCCTGATCTTATGGAAGAAAGAATCTACACCTAGCTTTCTCGGACAATGGCGAAAAATCTCGGAGGTCCCGTGCGCAAGTTGAGCACGTTAAAGATCCCTTAATTGGTGGTCTAAAATCGATGAGAGTAGACTTCCGCCGCCGCGGCAAAATTCAAAATGTCCTACCAACTGAAAATGTTTAATGTGTTCCGCGTGGTCATATGACCCTATGCAGTTGTGAGCGCCGTAAAACACTTACCCTACCCGAGTGCATGATATTATTGCATTATTTGAAAGGATTGTTGCATGTTGAGATGGGCCAGCGTGCATGAAATGTGTCACTGTGTTAGTTGTGGAAGTTTTATTTATTTTCTTTTTTTTTAAAGTAAAGAGCATAATAAATAAGAGCGTACCAGGGATTTGGCGCTATAGAAGTGATCTTATTATTAGGCTATCATCGCATCATCTTCCTCCTCTTCCTCCTCCTCCTCCTCCTCTTCCTCCTCCTCCTCATCATCATCATCGTCATCATCATCATCATCATCATCATCATCATCATCATCATCATCATCATCATC